GAATGAATGGGCTAACGAAGAAGTTAAACAGGAAATTAAAAAGTATATGGAAGCCAATGAAAATGGTAACACCACAACCCAAAACCTATGGGATGCAGCAAAGGCAGTCATAAGAGGAAAGTATATAGCAATCCGGGCCTTTCTAAAGAAGGAAGAAAGATCTCAGATACACAATCTAACCTTATGCCTTAAAGAGCCAGGAAAAGAACAGCAAGTAAAACCCAAAACCAGCAGAAGACAGGAAATAATAAAGATCAGAGCAGAAATTAATGCTATCAAAACCAAAAAAAAAAAAAACAGTAGAACAATAAAACCAGAAGCTGGTTCTTTGAAAGAATTAACAAAATTGATAAACCACTAGCCAGTTTGATCAAAAAGAAAAAGGAAAGGACCCAAATAAATAAAATCAAAAATGAAAGAGGAGACATCACAACCGACACAACAGAAATAAAAACAATAATGAGAATATTATGAGCAATTATACGCCAATAAAATGGGCAATCTGGAAGAAATTGACAAATTCCTAGAAACATATACACTACCAAAACTGAAACAGGAAGAAATAGAAAATTTGAATACACCCATAACCAATGAAGAAATCAAATTAGTAATCAAAAATCTTCCAAAAAACAAGACTCCAGAGCCAAATGGCTTTCCAGGGGAATTCTACCAAACATTTAAGGAAGAGTGAACACCTATTCTCTTGAAGCTGTTCCAAAAAATAGAAATGGAAGGAAAACTTCCAAACTCTTTCTATGAAGCCAGCATTACCTTGATTCCAAAACCAGAGACCCCACTAAAAAGGAGAACTATAGACCAATTTCCCTGATGAACATGGATGCAAAAATCCTCAACAAGATATTAGCCAACCAGCTCCAACAATACATTAAAAAATTATTCACCACAACCAAGTGGGATTTATACCTGGAATGCAAGGTTGGTTCAATATCTGCAAAACAATCAATGTGATTCATTACATCAATAAAAGAAAGGACAAGAACCATATGATCCTCTCAATAGATGCAGAGAAAGCATTTGACAAAATAAAACATCCTTTCTTGATAAAAACCCTCAAGAAAGTGGGGAAAGAAGGATCATACCTTGAGATCAGAAAAGCCATATATGAAAGACCCAATGCTAATATCATCCTCAATGGAGAAAAACTGAGAACTTTCCCCCTAAGGTCAGGAACAAGACAGGGATGTCCACTCTCACCACCGTTATTCAACATAGTATTGGAAGTCTTAGCCTCTGCAATCAGACAACACAAAGAAATAAAAGGCATCCAAATCAGCCAGGAGGAGGTCAAACTTTCACTCTTTGAAGATGACATAATATTCTACATGGAAACCCAAAAGATTCCACCAAAAAACTGCTAGAATTGACTCATGAATTCAGCAAAGTTGCAGGATATAAAATCAATGCACAGAAGTCGGTTGCATTCCTATACACCAATAATGAAGCAACAGAAAGGGAAATCGAGGAATCAATCCCATTTACAATTGCACAAAAAACCATAAAATACCTAGGAATAAATCTAACCAAAGAAGTGAAAAATCTATACACTGAAAACTATAGAAAGCTTATGAAAGAAATTGAAGAAGACATAAAAAAATGGAAAAAGATTCCATGCTCCTGGATAAGAAGAACAAATGTTAAAATGTCAATGCTACCCAAAGCAATCTACATGTTCAATGCAATCCCTATCAAAGTAACACCAGCATTCTTCACAGAGCTAGAACAAATAATCCTAAAATTTGTATGGAACCAGAAAAGACCCCGAATAGCCAAAGCAATCTTGAAAAAGAAAACCAAAGCAGAAGGCATCACAATCCCAGACTTCAATCTATACTACAAAGCTGTCATCATCAAGACAGTATGGTACTGGCACAAGAACAGACACTCAGATCAATGGAACAGAATAGAAAACCCAGAAATGGACCCACAAACATATGGCCAACTAATCTTTGACAAAGCAGGAAAGAATATCCAGTGGAATAAAGACAGTCTCTTCAGCAAGTGGTGCTGGGAAAACTGAACAGTGTCATGCAGAAGAATGAACCTGGACCACTTTCTTACACCATTCACAAAAATAAACTCAAAATGGATGAAAGACCTAAATGTAAGACAGGAAGCCATCAAAATCCTCGAGGAGAAAGCAGGCAAAAACCTCCTTGATCTTGGCCGCAACAACTTCTTACTCAACACGTCTCGGGAGGCAAGGGAAACAAAAGCAAAAATGAACTACTGGGACCTCATCAAAATAAAAAGCTTCTGCACAGTGAAGGAAACAATCAGCAAAACTAAAAGGTAACTGACAGAATGGGAGAAGATATTTGCAAATACATATCAGATAAAAGGTTAGTATCTAAAATCTATAAAGAACTAACTTATCAACACCCAAAAAAACAATCCAGTGAAGAAATGGGCAAAAGACATGAATAGACACTTCTCCAAGGAAGACATCCAGATGGCCAACCGGCACATGAAAAAATGCTCAACATCACTCATCATCATCCGGGAAATACAAATCAAACTCACAATGGGATACCACCTCACACCTGTCAGAATGGCTAACATTTACAACTCAGGCAACAACAGATGTTGCTGAGGATGCAGAGAAAGAGGATCTCTTTTTCACTGCTGGTGGGAATGCAAGCTGGTGCAGCCACTCTGGAAAACAGTATGGAGGTTCTTCAAATAATTAAAAATAGAAGTACCCTATGATCCAGCAATTGAACTACTAGGCATTTATCCAAGGGATACAGGTATGCTGTTTTGAAGGGGCACATGCATCCCACTGTTTATAGCAGCACTATCAACAATAGCCAAAGTATGGAAAGAGCCCAAATGTCCATCAATGGATGAATGGATAAGAAGATGTGGTATATATATACAATGGAGTATTACTCGACAATAAAAAAGAATGATCTTGCCATTTGCAACTACGTGGATGGAACTGGAGGGTTCTATGCTAAGCGAAATTAGTCAGAGAAAGACAAATATCATATGACTTCACTCATATGAGGACTTTAAGACACAGAACAGATGGACATAAGGGAAGGAAAGCAAAAATAATACAAAAACAGGGAGGGGGACAAAACATAAGAGACTCAAATAAGGAGAACATACAGAGGATTATTGGAGGGGTTGTAGGAGAGGGGATGGGCTAAATGGGTAACAGACTTTAAGGAATCTGCTCCTGAAATCATTGTTGCACTATATGCTAACTAATTTGGATATAAATTTAAAAAATAAAAATAAATAAAAATAAAAAATAAATTAAACAAAAGAACTGTTTTTGCTGCATTTTGTGAGTTTTACTAATTCTGTTTCCAGTTTCATTTGTCTCAAGATTTTTTTTTAATTTTTTTGATATCTTCTTTGACTCATCAATTGTTCTATAGTGTATTGATCACATATTATGAATTTCCATGTATTTGTAAATTTGCCAGCTCTCCTCCTGTTGTTGATTTCTAGTTTCATACCATTGTGGTCAGAAACAATACTTGATATAATTTCCCTCTTCCTGAATTTGTTACTTCTTTACCAGCTTAACATGAGGTCTATCCTAGAAAATGTTCCATGTGCACTTGAGAACAATGTGCATTCTGGTTGTATTGGATGGAAATATTCTGTATGTATCTGTTATGTCCATTTGGTCTGCAGTGTTTTTCATTTCTACGGTTTTCTTATTGAATCTCTCTAGATGATCTATGCATTGTTAAGAATGGGTTATTAAAGTCCCCAACTCCTATTGTATTGCTGTTTTTTTCTCCTTTTCATTCTATTAGTATTTGCTTTATATATTTAGATGCTGTGCTCATTATATAATGACCTTCACTGTTTCTTGGGCCATTTTTAGCTTAAGTCTATTTTGTCTGATATAAGTATGGTTACCCATGATCTCTTCTGTTTTCCATTTGCTTGAAATATCTTTCTCCATTCCTTCACTCTCAAACTGTGTGTCCTTAAAAGTGAGTCTTTTGAGGTCAGCATATCATTGAATCCTTTTTTTTAATCCATTCCATGCCTCTTTATTGGAGAAAATAATCTGTTTATATTTAAAGTAATCATTGTAAATAAGTAAGGACTTACTTAGTGCCATATAGTTCATTTTCTGTTTGTAGACACTTTGTTTCTTCTTTCCTCTCCTATCTTCCTTTGTGATTTGATGACTTCTTGTGGTGGTATGAATCCCTTATCATAATATTTTGTGTATGTACTGTAGGTTTTTCCTTTGTGGTACCATGAGGCTTACATAAATTATCTTTTAGTTATAATATGCTATTTTAGGCTGATAACAACTTAACTTCAATAGCATAGAAAAATTTACACTTTTACTTCTTTCCCACTCACATTTTAGGTTATTGATGTTACATTGAACATCTTTTTATATTGTGCATCCATAAAAAATTATTGTCATTATGGTTACTTTTAATACATTTGTTTTTAACATTTAAACTGGAGTTGTAAGTGAATTATGCACCATTACAATATTAGAAAATTTGACTTTGATTATATTTTCACTATTACCAGTGAGTTTTACAAATTCATACATTTTTTCTATGTTAATTAATTTCTTTTTATTTCCACCTGAAGAACACCCTTTAGCACTTCTTGTAAGATAGGCCTATCTGTGATGAATTTCCTCAGCTTTTGTTTGTTCAGGAAAGCCTTTATTTCTCCTTTTTTTCTGAAGGACAGCTTTGTTGGGTATAGTAAGTTTCTGTCTTTACCAGAGCCCAAAGGCTATTTTTGTGCTTCTCCTGTGAACTCCAAACTGCACTGAAATTAAGTACTGAGATCTCCAATATATGTACTTTATCTGGCATATTTTGGTCACAAGGCAGGGCTGTCCATGCTAACTCAAGGAATTGTTCTGGGGTAGTTGCCATTTAAGGATAGCCATTTTTCAAGTTCCTATGTGTGCAATCTCACAATTATTCCCAAATGAGGCATGAGCTGGCACCAAAGCCCAATTAGTCTGAATAGCAATTGGGATTTACTCTTACTTGTTAATGAGAAAAGGTTAAAGTGTCCATTATGAACTTTGGTAAGAATGCCTTGATACGTTCCCATCCATCATCCCACCCAAGAAACCTAATGTTGATTGTAGAATCTGTGATTTTATCTGGGTTCATGACCGTTGGTTGCTCATCAAAGTTGGAAGTTGATCACTAATAGAGGTTTCATCTCTATCCACTCATCTATCTACTCAAAGCCCATCATCATATCAATATGTCATATTAAATAAGACTTGATGGTAGCCTCTCAGACTGATATTTTTGTAAAAGTTTATATATTGGAAATTTTTCATTTGCCTAGAGAAACAGTAAATAACATGATAAGAAAACTCCACCAGAGTGGTTAAGCCCATGATCTCTGAATCAGACTGTCTGGGTTCAAATTCTAGCTCTGCTACATACATTCATATGAGCTTCTATATCTCAATTTCCCAATTTATAAAATGAAGCTAATAATAGTACCTACCTCACATAGTTCAGCTTTGAACCTTAATTTTTAACCAACTGAATCTCAATATTTCCTCATGTAAAAACAAGTTCCTATCCTAAAAATAAAACTCCCAATTAAAAGGAGAAGAAGCATAGATACATGTTCACAAAAATGCATTTTACAGTTGCCACCTCCAAGAAACATTATTCTGATTCTTACCTTTTGGGTTTTAATCCATTTCTTGTGAAGTTACTTGTGTGAGAGACTCATCTTGTTTACATTGCTTCTTCCTAAGACTGAAGGGCAAAACCTAACTCACTGAATAAGTTGAAGCTTCTATTAATTCCAGTAATCCAATGAAGCTAATTTACAATTTTATAATTTTTCTGACCCCAAACAGCCATACTATCTGAATTTTACTAAAGATGGTGATCACTGGCCATCTCACCCCAACTTTTTATTTTTAACTTGTTTGTAGTATCACAATGCTGCCACCATTTGCCCCACTCTTTTTTACTCCTTAGTAATAATCTAGTCACAAGGGGTGATGAGCATGGAAAAACAAATGTCATTGCCATTGAAAAGTCATGGGTACATGATTCTCTACCAAGTGCTCTGCACCTTAATTCAGTATTTCTCTGCTCAAGTAGTCTTTTATTGGGCCAGTCCCAGTTTTGGCTCCTTTTGTTTTGTTTGAGCATTAATTCCGCTATTAAAAATTGCACCCTTTGTGGAATGTCTTTTCCTCCCTTGAGGGCTATGAATATAGACCTGTAATCAAGGTTTGGGACCAAAGCTACTCCAATCAGACTTATCCCAGGTCTTTGCATCTTTATGGAAGTGATATAAGAACAAAAATGTCAAAATTTATTTATTCCAGTGGTGGTTCCTGGACAAGACCATAAATAGTTTTGCCCCTGAAGCCAACCTGTCTCAGACTTATTCTTCAGCATTTCTGCATATACTTTTAAGAAATTTTTTTTGCTTTAAGCTAATATTACTCTCTGCACCTTGAAACAAAAGGATCCCACCTATTAGCATTTGTACCTGCTCATGGCCCCACAGTTAAAAATCAAAATCCCTTTTGATGATGTGGGTTTTTTCCCCTATGGGTTTCCGAAAATGAAAGCAACCACCCCAATTATTCTCTGCTTATAAGAAATTTACTACTTTTCATTAAAAAGGCATTTTACGTGAAAGGCTTATGATAGACATCTGAAAACGTGCTGGTTATTTTCCATTTGCCTTTCCAGATCCACCCTCCCCTTGCTTCCCTACTCTCTCTGCTTGAGGCCACAGAGGCTCATCTGTTTGGAGTCATCAACAGGCTCCCTTGCACTGTTGTTTCCAGTTGGACTCAGTCAATGGAGAGCCCCCAGAAAAAAAAAATCAAGGAAAGAAGAGAGTGAGGTTGGTGTGTTAGTCCTTGGGCTCCCTCCCTGCAGATTGGCCCTGGGCTGGCTGCCTGGCTCCTCTACCCCATGTTGCAGCCCTGCCAGGCAGCCCTTTCCATACAATCCCTTTTCCTCACCTCTGTAGGCTTAGGAGTGGTGTAGCACCACAGTGCTGAATTATCTCAGTGGCTCCTCCACATGAAACTATACCTCTATAAATACAGTTGATATCTCAGTGTTTCATCTACTTCCTGACAGAATCCCACCTATTACAGCAAACTGGCATTGTCTTTCACCCGTAAGAATATCCTCTTTTAGTCATTGCCACATAGTTGTCAATACCCTATGACCAGATTCAAGAAACAAAAAACAGAGGTTTGTGATCTGATGAAGTGATCCAGGCAATTGCCATAGTTTCCTCACTTAGCTCAGTTTTCTAATCTCTGCAGGACTGAAGCCCATGATAGGCACTGGTCACTTTTTATCTAATTCATCCCAAATTTATGATAAAATTCTCTCTTTCTTGCTGCAAGGGATATAAAGATGAAATAGTAAAGTTGGCTCTTATCATGACTTTAGGCGGCAGGGAAAATTTAGCATTGGCTACTGCTATTTGCAAAACTGAGTCATGCTAGATAGGAAGTTATTATGAACACAAAAACAGTTTGTGGAACAGTCCATTCCAGTTTTTTATCTACTGATCATATATTTCCCTGACATCTCTTTAGGCCATGAACCTGAGCAATTTCCCCTGTTACAAAAGTTGGGTGGATGTGTCAACTTAGTCATTAGGGCAGCTGCCCAGTTCTCGGGATGTGTCAAGCATCAGAAAAATGATACACTGGTCATTTGCATTTAGTTGTAGGCATATGGTTTTACTCCCACATATATGCTCTCTCTCCCAGAAGTTCTCAAAAATCAAAATAAGTGGACTTGCAGCCCAAACAGTAAAGATGCAATTTCTTTAGAGACTGAAGCAGACCATGGCTAGGCTTTCTATAGCACAAAGGTTTAATATCTGTCCCATGGTGAGGAATTGCCTTCTATGGTAATAAGATGAATCTTTTCGTAAGGGGTGATGTGGCCCTGCAGCAAAACTGTACCTCTGGGCTCCTCTGCATAGTCTACATCGACCTTTGATTTCTGAGGGCCTCACCTTATGTTATATATATCTGATATATACCCTTTATATATGCACATTATATATATCTGATATATACCCTTTATACTGTTGGCCCTTTTTATACTAAATCAAAATGAGAGACCCCTTGCACTGAGTAAATCATTTGTCTGGTTTTCAAATCTAGACCAGATTTTTTTTGGCCTGGCCTAACTCAGTAACTAAAGTGGACTGAGAATGAAGCCAACAGGTTCTCATATGAAAGAGACTTAGATTCTAATTCCAACTCTGTTATTTACAAGCTGTGTGTTTCAGGTCAAAGAATTTCACTTTACTAAGCCTTAGTTTTCTCATCTATGAGAGTATCTACATCATAAAATAACATGTATTTAAAGCACTGAGCACAGTGCCTTGCATATTACAAGCACACCATAAATATCAGCAATTATTATTACATTATAATGCCCAGCAACAACTGTAAGCCCAAAGATCAGGCCTAAAGGAGTCATTTTCACATTATAGATGCAGTGGATAATAAGAAGTACCTTGAAAAAAATCCTTTTATACTTTTAACCTGTCCCAGAATAAGAATCATAAGATCAATTTTATATAGATTCTACCACAAAATTCCCCAGCAAGGCAACAAAATTCATCTTATGCACTAAAATTGAATATTTGTGCTGATTACATTGGACAAGTCAGATAATGGATTTCATTTAAAAAAAAAGGGAAAAGCTAGAACCCAAATAAAAAGTCATCAACAGAGGATTTTACTTTACACAATAAAAAATTTAAACCTGTACTATCTGTAAAAGCATGGAAAGCTCGAGTAAAAGGGACTTAAATCTGTTTGTTAGACTTAGTCTCAGATGGGTAATTCATAATGTCACAGTTTGACCACACACTTAAAAAACAAAAACAAAAACAAACAAAAAAACAACTAATGGTGCCAACTGTATTTTCCAAAGATTACCTCAACTGTATTTCCCATCATACATGCTCTTTTATGATGTGGATTTGTGCTCCTCCATCGGGAAGTATTTATTTCTCCACCCTGTTGAATCTAAACGTGTCCTGTGACTGCTCAGATCAAGTGAAATTGGGAGAAGTCACTCTGTGCCAGTTTCATACGTAACCATTAACTGACCTGGCAGATGCTATGCCTACAAAACCTAAGCCATATGGAATGGCCCTCCTTCCATGGCCCCAGTAGTTGCCTACAGTTGGCAACAACTGCCAGCCACATCAGAGAGCTACCCTGGATGTCCAGCACAGTCCCACTTCCAATGACTCCATCCCCAGTCTCTATAGACAACAACCAAAGAGATCAGTAAACCCAGGACTGTGTGAGAAAATCATACACGGCATTCAAAACCACTGCGATGTTGTTGTTGCTGTTGTTGTTTAATGTTTATTTATTTTTGAAAGAGTACAAGGGGGGAGGGGCAGAGAAAGGGGGACAGAGATCTGAAGTGGGCTCTTTGCTGACAACAGAGAGTCCAATGTGGGGCCTGAACCCATGAACCACAAGATCATGACCTGAGCCGAAGTCGGAGGCTCAACTGACTGAGCCAACCAGGTGCCCCCACTGTGTTTTGAGTTTGTATACTAAGTAGCAACAAATGACCAGAGCAATTAGCCACATTTGACTTAAATACCTGTTTTTAGCCCTCTATCTGGCTCCACCTTCCTTTCTGATAAGCAATAAACACTTGGGATTCCTTTCCTAGATACTTGGTTCAAATCATAACTATTTATTTAAAAGTCCCAATTATCTGAATATCTTTTAGTCAATAATGCTTTCTACATTAACATATCAGCAACTTGAAAAAATGTGATTTTATTAAAATTTTCCAACATCATTTGATTGAACAAACTAAGAAATCAACAACAGCAGACAAAACAATCTCTAGCTACATCAGTACAAGCAGAAACACAAGTAAATCAAACCAGAAGATTTATGGCAATTTTTTCTACGGCTAGAAATTCCTAAGAACTTTAGAAAAATCTCCGTGTGATAAGGTCTAGTCATAATAACATAAGCAAATATGATATCATTTTCTTAATGTATAATCCCTTAGGAGATATTTGAATAATATACTTCAAAGTAAGTACTACTTCACAGAAAGGCAAGTAAATGGTAGAATTTTTTTTTCTGTGAGAAGCAAGGATTCCTTTCAAATTTTCAATTCATGTATTTAAATGCAAATGTAGGTATATAAATACATTCTAAAAGTCTTTTTTTTAAACTATTTGTGTATGCCAGAAATAAACCCATAGCAATTATGTTATTATGAAGATTAAAAGCAAAAATTCACTTAAGAATGATCAGTTAAAATATCAAATTTAAAATATTATATGAGGTATTTTTTAATTATTTATACATACATGGAAAAAAATGGGAATTGTAACTTTACACAATGCACATAAGAAAAAAATCAAAACACTGGTTTTCAGAAATAGATTTTAAAACTATATAAGAATTTTGCTAGGGGCACCTGCATGGCTCAGTCAGTTAAGCGACTGACTCTTGATTTTGGTTCAGGTCATGATCTCAGGGTTGTGAGATTGAGCCTCACGTCAGGCTCCATGCTCTGCATGGAGCCTGCTTAAGATTCTCTCCCTCTCTCTATGCTCCTCTCCCCTGCTGGTATGCACTCTCCCTCTCTCTCTAAAAGTAAAAAAAAGGGGCGCCTGGGTGGCGCAGTCAGTTAGGCGTCCGACTTCAGCCAGGTCACGATCTCGCGGTCCATGAGTTCGAGCCCCGCGTCGGGCTCTGGGCGGATGGCTCAGAGCCTGGAGCCTGTTTCCGATTCTGTGTCTCCCTCTCTCTGCCCCTCCCCCGTTCATGCTCCGTCTCTCTCTGTCCCAAAAATAAATAAAAACGTTGAAAAAAAAAATTTAAAAGTTAAAAAAAAAAAAAAAAGGTTAAAATTAATAAAATAAATTAAAAAAAACAATTTTGCTAGAAACCTTGTTAACTCCATAGTTTTGATTATCATATGGGTTAATTCATGGCTCACCTTCATTGTTTTCATATGGTAACATCATGCTTCTCTCAATATCAGTAAGAAGCTACTAACATTATCCATTGGTATCTAAAAGAGAAGTGCAAATTAGAACTACAAGGAGATAGCCTTTTTCACACATTATATTGGTAAACTTCCATAAGTTTAGCAATGTATCTCACTGGCAAAGCTGTGGGGAAAAAGCATGTTCATAACTTTGTTGGTAGAAATACAAACTAGCACCACCTCTGTGGAGGGAAATTTAGGAATGTCTAGCAGACTTACTTAGGCATTTGTCTTTGCAGCAACAATTCTATTTCTAGTAATCTATCCCAGACATAAGTTAGCAAAAATATAAAATGATTTAAACATGAGGTTAATTGACATAGTATTTCTTGTATTAGCAAAAGAGTAAAAATAATCCAATTGTCTATCAACAGGAGAACTGGTTGAATAAACTATGAGACATCCATATAACTGAAGCCATGCAGCTGTAAAACAGAATGAATAAAAGCTACATATGTGGACACAGAAGAGTCTTTGTTACATATTTTAGTGTAAAAAAGCAAGATGCAGAAAAGCAGATATAGGATAATGCCTTTTTAAAAATTAAGGCCAAAATGTGAATACAAATATAAAATATTTACAAAATTAACATAGAATCATAAACCACTTATAAACAATATAGGGGTGCTTGGGTGGATCAGTCAGTTAAGCATTGGACTCTTACTTTTGGGTCAGGTCATGATCCCAGGATCATGCAATCGAGCCCCACATCAGGCTCCATACTGAGCGTGGAGCCTGCTTAAGATTCTCTCTCTCCCTCTGTCTCTGCACTTCCCCCGACTTGCTCACATACTCTCTCTATATCCCTCTAAAATAAAATAAATAAAATAAAAGAAACAATTTAAACATTAACCTACAAAGAGAAAGAGAAAATAGGGAGGAGGAGATAGAGATAGATGTGAGATTTCTCTGACCATTCCATATTTATAGTTTTGACTTCGAAGTCATATAGAGGCTTTATATACTTAAAAAAAAAAAAACTTAAAGAGAATCCCTAAAATTTGAATACAGAAATGACTATACCTAATTAATATCAAGTTAGTGGCCTAATTTTTAGTATTTTGATTGTACAACCTCCTAGAATATTCTAAGGGCAAATAAAACTGCAAAGACACCTTAAACTACATTCAATAGCCTTCTTGGAACGATTTTATATCTAATAGGATAAAGCAAATGAGTAATTATGCTAATACTATTAGTATCCAAACTTGTCCATGTAAAAATATAAGTTACAAGTATAAAATCAAAGAATTTAAGTAAAAGCCAGATAGTAGTAAATTAGACATAGAAATACCAATAGGAATTCATAACTATTTCTAAAATATGTATTTCCAATAACCAAATATCGTTGGTGATTTTTTAAATTCCTGATATGTACCTGTATTATCTAAATTTCCTTCAAAAAGTATATATATTCAATAATAAACCATGAAGAATATTATTTGCTGAAAACAAAATTCCAATTCTGTACTCTGTACTCTGAACAAGCCTGGAAGCAATGACAACAGAGTGGCAACAAGCACAACAAGTTCCCAAATTCTAGTCTCTTAATACTATTTCTCTCAAAGAAATTACCCATTCCAGCTATGGGTAAGGGATATTCAAGATGAGCATAGGCCCTCTATAGTGTCAGAAAGCAACAGATGTTTTCAAAATAGGGCCATGTCAAAAGGTCACAGGAGATATCTGGAAAGACTTCCCACTGGGCAAATAAAGCAAAATGAGAACATCAAGAATGGTGACTACAATTTGATTAAAAGATTATATATGTAAAGATTTTATTGGTTTCCTATTACTGCTGAGTAATGGCAAATTACCATAAATTCTGTGACTTAAAACAACACAAATTTATTATCTTACAGGTTAATCCTAAAATCAAGATGTCAGCAATGTTATGTGCCTTCTGGTGGCTGTAAGGGATAATCCATTTCTTTGCCTTTTGCAGCTATGGGAAGCTGCCTGTGTTCTTTGGCTCATTTCCTTCCTCCATCTTTAAAGGCAGGACTGTGGTATCTCCATATTTCTCTGTCTCTGACCCCTGCTTCCACCATCACATCTCCCTCTCTGCCTCTAATACTTCAGCCTCCCTCCTATATGGACCATTGTGACTACACTGTGCTCATCCAGATAACCCGGAATAGTCTTCCCACCTTAAGATTCTTAATTTAGTCACATCGGCAAAATCCCCTTTGCCATATAAGGTTATATTGTCACAGGTTCTGGGGATTAGGACATGGACATCTTTATGGGGCTATTATTCTGTCCACAATAATGATACTCAACACAAAGAGAAGGAGGAAAAACCCTCACTGAGACATCAACTCCTTCCTCTGAAAACTGACAATTAAAGGAAAAGAATAGGAGTGCCTGGGTGATTCAGTCAGTTAAGCGTCCAACTTCGGCTCAGGTCATGACCTCATGGTTCATGGGTTTGAACCCTGCATCGGGCTCTGTGCTGACAGCTCAAAGCCTGGAGCCTGCTTTGGATTCTGTGTCTCCCTCTCTCGCTGCCCCTCCCCTGCTCATGCTCTGTCTCTCTCTGCCTCAAAAATAAAAATAAACATTAAAAAATTACAAAATAAAAAATAAAGGGAAAGAATAAATTATCATTTTTTGCAACTATTTCAGAGTAACCAAATATCTCTAGTTGATGAAGTAACTTCTTCATTACAGAATAATTCCATCTAATAAATGGAAAGAAATGATATAATTAGAAAAATCACCATTTTGCAACCTCTAATGTAATCCTTATTTCAGACAATAGACAAAAATGGATGAAATCATTAGTTGGAAGATTGATGGGAATTTCACAGTGGTGAGAATACAGTTATCACCAGCTGAACCTATTGACTAGAGAGTCACTAAAATCAAGACAATTGGACATCATGTGCCTGATGCAAAGCCATGTGTGGTGTTAATACCAAAGAAATGGAAACCTAAGTGTAATCAAATGTTTAGAACTAATTTCCAGTCAGCAGGAAATATGAAAAAGAACAAATTAAACTACCTTATGAATAAGAGATAAATTCAAAATGTGGGGTTTGCTGCAGTACAAACTGACTTTTTTAAACAAGCCAGCAATGTGAAAAAGAAAGAAGAAAAGGAAAGGTGAGATGTTCCATCCAGAAGAGATATAACAGACAATAATCAAGGGCAATGTACAAAATCTGTTTCGATGGTATAAAAAGGCTGTCCTATAACTGCAGGATACGATAATTGGAAAAACTTGAATATAGACTGGGTATTAGATACTATCAAGTAATAATAATTTTGAATGTGTGATAATTAATGGTCACAAGTCTAGCTAAAATAATATCTTGGTCCCTCTTTTTAGAGATGTGTAATAAAGAATGTAAGGGTGAAATGACATTGACTCTGTTTTCAAATACTTTAGCAAAAGAAAATAATAAAGTCAAACTATACAAATCAACCTGGGAAAATTGTCCATGACATATTGTTAAATATAAAAAAAAAATACAAGTTACTGGGGGAAGATTGTGGAGTAGGAGAATCCTAGGCTCACCTCATTCCATGGATACCCCTAGATAATACCCACATCAGTGTGGGGAAAAAAAAAAAACAGAAAATGACCTAATGAGTGGCAGAATAGTTTCTCTACAGTTAGTCATAGAGAAGATGCCACATCAAGAATGATAGGAGGGGTAGAGACATGGTCAGGAACCAAAATGACCCAAAAGACTGATCTCAGAAGGGAGGGACACTGATGATATGCAGAAGAAAGAGAAGCAGACCCAACACCAGGTACCCCAGGCATGGGGGACCTGCACTGGGAAGACAAATCCCCATAATATTTGTCTTTGAAAACTAGAAGAACTTAACCTTGCAAGTTTTTTTAAAATCTGTGGGGCTTAACACTAGGAACTTTAAAAATCACCAGGCTCGGCTCTGGTAAAGCCACAAGGCACTAAGAAACTGAGGCTATGTCCTTAAAGAATAGCATAACAAACAACCTCACCAAGATACAGCATAGAAGCAGCAGTTTGAGAGGCACCTGGGGTATACAGGAGGGATATTTATTTAATGGTCTCAGAGCACATGCAGGAGGGGCAGGGGTCTTTGCAGGACTTCTTCAAGAACAAAGGAGTTGGCTGGTGCCATTTCTCTCTCCTCGCTTCCAGCCTAGATACCCAGACACCTGCAGGAACCAGCCCAAACACTTATCACTTAGCTTGCTAATAGCACACCCAGCCCCATGTTCTCCCTGGCAGGAATCCATCCAAAGCCAGTGCCATAACCATCTCATTGTGCAAGCAACCCCATCAGTGGCCAGCACCATTCTGAAGGGACTCCTACCCTGGAGAGAGGGGCAGATAACCACAAACACCAGTTTGACTACAGCCCCAGTAATGGGCTGGGGGAAGATATCTGATATGACTGCTGGCTCTGCTCACCAACAAAAACCTCACAGTGGGCAACACAAAAAGACAGCATAGTAGCTCAGGGTCACTGCAACCCCAACAGACAGACTGGGAGTAGACATCTTATCTAACTGCAAGCCCCACCAACCAACTAGAGCCTTTCAGAGGACAACACTGGGAGAGCACCCTGTACTTCAGTGCAATACAGTTCTGGCAAACAATATGAGAACAGGCATCTGGTCTGACCTGACTCAAGCCCAAAGTGGCCCCAAACTGCCCACTTACGAGCACAGGGACCAAACCCTGTTCACAACAGGCAAAGAAGGTCATAACAGATGACTGGACTGAAGGCAAAGATGGCTCAACCATAACAGTAGGGTGCATGCAACACTCTTAAAAGACATCCCTGAAGCACCTGGTTCTAGTGCACAGGGGTCACTGCACTGAAGGGCACTAGAGGATCTCTTCTTCATAAGGCCGCTACTTTAGAGATTAGGAGACATAACTGACTCTTCTAACACACAGAAACAAAAAAAACCACAGAGAGTTAGACAAAATGACGAAACAGAGGAATATGTAACAAATGAAAGAACAACATAAAAATCACAACAAAATTGCTAAACAAAATGCAGATAAGTAGTATGT